CCGCCACGGCAGCCGGAATGATTAAGACTGAAGATGGTAATTTCGCGAGACCGTCTTTGCAAGTATACAAAACTCCTTTGTATAACTAAATGTTGTGTCTCCGTGAATGTTGCAGTGAAATGTGTCACGGTCGCGCAAATGCAGCAAATGCAGAAACCCGGTGGACCGCCTACCTCGCCCGGGGGATCAGTGATGGATTTGTCTACCTCCAGTGTTACGTCCACTAGCCCGCAGGTTAGTTAAAAATAATACAAAAGTATTACATACAAAAGATAAATATATACAAAAAATATTATGAGATCTTTGTGCTCATCATGATGCGATTCACAGGCACCACCCTACGGTTCGAACAGCCTCAGTCCACAATATGGAGGAGGACAAACAGTAGGAAGTAGTCCTCAGGCTGCAGCGAGTCCGCACTTAACGGCTAGTCCTCAAGTTCCTAGTCCCCAGGGTCAAACTCTCGATCTTAGCGTCAATAGACTCCACAGGTACCTGTTAATTTTCATATTTATAATTATTAACAAATACTAAGAATAAAGTCTGAAACACAACTGAAAAATTCAATCAATAGAAACAAGGAATAAAAGATTTCGATTTATCATATGTTCTGATACACACAGTTTCTAATAAGTTGAAATCTGTGTTATTCCTTGCTCTTATTGCTTGTGCTGTGTCTTTAAGATCTTATCGTAAAATTTCAGCTTTAGGAAAATTGTTTTCAAGCTCGCTGGCATTAAAAAAATAAATATTATTTTAATAGAGGATTTAAAGTAAACAGAATAGTGCTAAGTATAACAGAAACTTATAATAAAATCATTGTAGTACTTAGGACAAATAGATGAAAAAGATACATATTTATCTCTATTGCAGCGGTGCACCCAGTCCGCAGTATTCTACTGGCCATGGGGAAGCCGTCGCGGTTCCAGTGGGTCCGGGTTTTCCAGCCCCACGACCGATCGAAGAACAGACGGAACCCGTTGATTTTTCAACGGCGAATGAGCCGGTCAATTTCAGTGGGGGTCCGGGGATCAGGCCTGTACCCGGGTTTCCGCCGCCTGGAGTGCACGTCACGGCGTATAGTCGCGAGAGCACACCCGACAGCGGGGGTTCCCACTACATGGACGCCTACCGAGATCCCACCGGTAAGTTATCATCACTTATCGCATAACTCTGCGGACAATCTATGATCCACATCACAAAGACGTTTTATGACTCTCTTCAATGATCACATTTAATAGCATGGTTATACAAAAAATCATTATGTAAAGTTTATTAGTTATAAAATTTATTAACTTGTAAAACTTATTAGTAAAAAATATTTTTTAATAGTTTTCTGAAGTAATTAAACGGGCATATACGATATGTTGTTTTTTGTTTCGAATCAATAATATTCAACGTAAAAGCTTTTCTTTACATAATATCTCGATACCAAAAAGTATTATCTTACTCATTGGAATACTTCTAACAATTAGGTATATAATCTCTAATATTTAAACATTACCGTTTTGCTATGCAACAACGTTGAATAATAATTCACTGCGAAAATTTGATGACGGCGAATCGTTTGCACGATAATGTCAGATGAAGATGAGATAGAACGAAAAAAGCAAACATGGAAAAGGACGCGACAGGATGTCCTTAACACTATAAATTTTAACTGATATATATATATATATATATATAGACATACACACACATACACGCGCGTGCAACGCAGGAGATACACGCGAAGCGTTAATGTGTCCTTACACAGGCGTCGTGT